TGCATAAATAGCTGATTAGTTGCAGTGTACTCTGACTCTATTTCTGTCTCTTTTCACTTTGGCTTCTTATCTGTCTTTAATAGCTGGAAGAGTTTCATCTTTAAACCATTATGGTTTCTCTTTCCTTTTGACTGTAGATAATGTCTTTTTTGTATCTCTCCCTAACAGTGTCCTTGGCTTCAGTACAGAGTTCCTCTGGCAAACTAGGTTGGATAGTCCAAATATATTTTTAAACATTGTCTTTATATTCTATAGGGATGCTCTTTGGATCGGGCACATTCATTGGTTTACTATTCTTCAATATTCTTCTCTGCTTTTTCTTGAATGTTTGATATCATCAGTTCATGGTTTGTACCACAATCTGCTCCTGGTCTTGTTTTTGCAGAAAGAATGAAACTTACTCATTTTTTTGTATCTGATTATATAGTCTACTTCATTTCTATTTTGGCCATCAAGTGATGTCCATGTATACAGTCATGCCTTGGGTTGGTGAAGAATATGTGTGTGTGTGTGTATGTGTGTGTGTGTGTGTGTGATCAGCAAACTATTGGCCTCACAAAATTCAGACACTTTCCTTCTTGATTTCTTGATCCTTGATCTCCAGTCTTGGATTCTGCTCTGTTTCCTACATTTGCCTTTCAATCACCTACAATTAATAAGAAGTCCTGTTTCAGTGTGTGGTCAATTTGGTATGTGGTATAGAATCTTTCAATTTCTTTCTTTGCAACTGTAGTTGGAGCAAAACTTGGATTATAGTTATATTGATGTGTTTTTCTTGAATTCTTATTCATATTATTTGGATAGAGTTTACAATATACAGTACTCTTTGACTGCTTTTTCTCTTCTCATTATTAATACCACCCCATTTCTTCTTCATGAGTAAAACACTGTGTAGTTATCTGACTTAAAATGTCCAATTCCTCTCCATTTTAGCTCATTCACTCTCAGTATCCCAAAGTCTTTACATTCCTTTCTTCGTTTTTTACTATGTCTAACTTCCCCTGATTCATGCTTCTCACATCCTATGTTCCCATAATATGTGTTGTGTAACTTTGGGCTTTCCTTTCACCTCTGAGCATGCCAACAGTAAATATTCTTTTAGCTTGAGTCTACTGTCTTCCAACTTTGAAGCGTCATCTTTTTCATTTTGGATTGTCTTATCATAGAATTTTGTTCATAAAAGATATTCAGAAAGGGTTCACTGTGCCTCCTTTTGAGCATTACTAACAAGTATTAGCTATGGTGCTACTGTTGCTATCTCAGAGAGATCCTTCACCAAGGTGTGTGTGCTCTCCCTCCACATACACGCAGTACATTTGGCACATTTCTTCTTGCGACTCAACAAAAGTCTCTCTGTCATGGAAGACCATACCAGTAGCATTGTGTCTTGCCCCTCATGAGCAATCTTTCCAGCAAGTCCCAGAAGCCCCAGTTAAAATAGCCAGTTGTGAGAGCATCATGAAGTCTGAAACAGGTGGAGGGCATCAAACTTAGGAAGGTTGATATACTGTTTCATAGGTCTAAATTCCAGTTGTGAGGCTTTCTGACTGAACTTGAGAAGCCAATACTTATGTGGGAGCTAGGCCACGAGTGGGAATCATAAGCGCCTCTAGATGTTGAGCAAGCAGCCAATGACAGCAAAGGGAATTGTGAGAACATCTGAAGAGGCCACATTTTGGTTTAGGTCTTAGCTAAAATCCTGCAAATTATTGGTACAATCCTAACCCAAAGATGTCATGGCTGTCATTGACAAGGATGAATCATGAGCCTCTTCTGCTGAAAGAGATGTTTTTAAAATGTTGGAGATACAAGTTCAATTTCACACTAAGCCATGGCGCACACTCTATTAACCCAAGCCAGTCACTCTCTGAGGTAGATTTGCTTCACAGCCAGGGTGTTGTGATTTGAACATTGGGCTATGTTTCTGGAGACCAGGGTCTGAGTCACTGCTGTGCAATGGAAACTGATTGGAAGACCTTGAGCAAGACCCCACCTCCAGCTTTTGAATAAATCTGGCCAAGGAACCCATGGTAGGGTTGCCCTAAGTCAGAAATCACTTGAAGGCACCACCAACAACAACTCATTGTGGAGAGGAGTAGAACCAAATATAGAGTTTTGAATTGATTGGAAGAAAAGCGAGCTGATGGTAATGATAATAGAATGCTCAGTTTCTCTTAGTCACTTTTTTTCATGTCAGGAGTGACTCGAGAAACTGCAAGTCACATCTGGTGAGAAAGAATTGGCTATCTGCAAGGATGTTGCCCAGGGGACACTCAGATATTTTGGATGTTTTACCATCCTTGTGGGAGACTTTTCTCATGTCCCTGCATAAGAAGCTGGAGCTGACAGAGGGAGCTCATCCACACTCTCCCCAGATTTGAATCTCCAACCTGTCAGTCTTGCACCACCGGGGGCCCTTAGTCACTTAGTCAGGATTAATATTTTAACAAAGATCCTTTAGTGAAGAGAAAAAGATAAGGACCCTCACAAATCCCTCTAAGCAAAATAGCAGAAGAAAAGTGATGGTGGGAATTTGTCTAAAACAATTCATACCTTACTGTTAAGATGCCTGAAGCAAGGAAGGGTCCTGGGAAACTGAAAAGCTTTAAGAAATGAAGTCATACATATACACACCCTGCTTTCAAGTGATTTGTGACTGGAAGAAGCAGTCATCCTAATCCAATCGCTGGATATATTGCCAGGGGGAATAAAGGTAAACCTCTTTGGCAGTATTCTTGCCCTCAAAATAACTCAGCCCTGGCCTTATCAAGAATTTCAAAATGTAAAAACTTTCTTCTGTTGAGAACGATTTCTTGAAATAGTGCGTGTATGTATGTGTATATGTGTGTGTGTGTGTGTGTAAAATGTGTAGACCTTCAAACATTAAACACGTGAACATGAAGCTATCAAGAAGTCTGACTCCATTTCATTTGTTTGACAAAAAACAAAACAGTTTGGAGAGTTCAGCATTTGCACAGCGTGAAATTATGTATGATTAGTTATACGCCTGTACTTCCCAAGAGTACATATAGATTTGAAAAATGAAAGGCAATACATGTGACATAATTTCAAAACTGATGGTACCTACTGGAATATATTTTTATCATTTCAAACTAGCCCTCTGCAGACATTCACTACTTATGTAACCTTCCTTCCTTTGTTTTTGTGTCACACTGAAAAAACTTCCCCTTTTAGTGTCAGGTATCTTGCATATATTGAGAACAGTCCTCCACACCCACTGATTCTGCACCCACAGATTCAACCACCTATGGCTTGAAAATATCCTCCAAAATTCCAGAAACAAATTCTTCATTTTGCACTATTATAAAGGACACCATTTTACTATGCCATTATATTTAATGGCACCTGAGCATCCATGGATTTTGATATCCATGGATATTCCTGGAACCAAACCCCAGCAGATACCACTGTATTGATAATGCCAATTAAATCCATTTCAGTCGAAGCTTGAAAGACAGCATGTGGAGAAGTAAACATGAGATGTGATGCTTTCTGTCGGGCACTATAAACATGCAAGGAGTGTGCTCTTCTTATGTAGAGGATAACCTGTGTGGTATTTCTGTGAAGATCCTCCATTTGATGTCATCCAAACAGTAATTTCCACCAGTCATTACTTTGCTATATAGATCTATTACAAAGGACAGTGTGAAAGATGGATATTTGAGGTCTTCTTGTTCCACAGAATATGTCACTATTTTGATAAGTCAGTCACACCTGTTGTGTGGCAAATAATGAGAACAAGCAATGAGAACTGCATAGCTAGCTGATTAAATTATCAAGTGTTTACAAACAAACTGTCATCATTCGGAGCAAATAAGCTCCTTTTCCTTTTTTATTTTAAAAAAGCCTGTTTCTTTTGCACCTCTAGCAGATTAGTGTTATACAATTGTGCTCCAACCACAGATAGTAGTTAGAAACCTGAGGTACAAGTTAGAGCATTATTTAGTTTTAATCTCTGACCAGACACGTTATTTCTCAGATAGCTATAGGTCATGATCCCATGAATGATAACACTACCCTACTTTACAAGAATTGTTAGAGGAACTGAGATGTTTTTGAAGTATTATTGATCGCATGCAATTAAACCGATTACAATTGTATAATCAGACCTTTTATAAATAGCTTTTAAAGTCTATTACTATGTGATATAGTGTACACATATATGTCCGTGGGCATGTGTAGAGGATCTAATGAGCACTTTAAAATAGGGCCACCTTGCATTGGGGAACCCAGAGTAAATTGACCCAATCTGGAGCAATACTTAGTTGCAGAATACTATATTAATTTTACTTGTTCCTCTAATGCATTTACCTCATTTACAGGTAATTTAAATGTTTATTAGCATATCTGGTTAAAGAGTAATTGTCTGAATCAATGATGAGGTCATCAGTCAGCATATACACAACTATGCATTGTCGAAGTCTTTTGTGGCCAGAATGACTGGGTTGTTGTAGGTTTTTTGGGCTGTATGGTCATGTTCTAGAAGCATTCTCTCCTGACGTTTCACCTGCATCTATGGCAGGCTTCCTCAGAGGTTGTGAGGTCTGTTAGAAGCTAGGAAAATGGGTTTATATATCTGTGGAGTGTCCAGGATGGGAGAAAGAACTCTTGTCTGTTGAAGCTAGGATTCCCCGAGGCAATAACAAGTCACTCCTAAAAACTGTCAGGCCATCAAATGCTAATCAAGGTGGCCAATTGAAAGGTGGCCATATCTCCAACAGACAAGCGTTTTTTCTCCCACCCTGGACACTCCACAGATATATAAACCCAGTTTTCCTGGTTTTCCACAAACCTCACAACCTCTGAGGATGCCTGCCATAGATGCAGGCTAAACGTCAGGAGACAATGGTTCTAGAACATGGTCGTACAGCCCGAAAAACTACAACAACCCATATACACAACTGTTCAAGCATTTCTTTTTTTATGCCTTGACTAGGAACAACTGCTGGTCAAAGATACAAAGTGAAGAGAACCATTCATTCTTTTTTCTTTGTCAACTGCTGGACTACTTTCATTTATTTTCTGACAGGGGTACAACCAGAGGCATTTCATAGTATAGACTGAAATGGGATTCAACACAAGATATGGCAGATACTATGTAAAAGGGTGAAGAAACAAAAGGCCCTTTCCATTCAGACACAACAGTTCCACAGCTCCCTGATTTTTGTGCTCAAGTCTTTTGCTGCCTCCTTGTGGGCAACATAACCTAGAATAGATATTATCATTTTGCTAGCACCTATTTGTTTATTGGAGTTATACTTTGCCTTTCCTCCAGATTCACTTAGGCAGTGTGTTGTTGGGTGCTTCAGATTTCCCACGTTCTGAACAGACTCCACATATCCGTTATTACAAAGAGAACAAAGGATGCATGTAATTATTTTCAAAAGTCTCTTAATTTGCAAATATCCCACCAAGAGTGAAGTATGAAGGGTATTATGAAAAAATGACTTTTTGTGCCCTCCCTCTGCCCCCCAATATTTATGACATGATAGAAGAAGACTCCTTGGTGAATTAACAGCCAGCTGGCAAAACTTGCTTCAGAGTGGGAAGGACTGCTCTCCAGAACTATTTGCTAAACATAATATGGAATCAATAAGCAGTTTTGCAAGAACTGCATTATACCATTAGGGGTTTGGTTCACAAGAAGTTTGATTCAAATTTTAATTTCACTAGGTAGAAAACCATTCCATTGCTCTAATACCAAACCGGCTATTTCAGGTGATAACCCAAGTCATCTTACTGGTAGAGTGGATTCCCCCTCACTATAATGGAAACAACTCATGGAACGAGGTACATTTCACATCACAGACTATCCCCACCCTACTGCCACCCACTTATGTTCAGTTAGATACAGGACTGATCTAAGAAATAAAAAGCAAACTTTCTTTTTTTGCTTACTTATGCTCTTTTGTCTCGGTGCCCGACTAAAACATTCTATAGGAGTGTTACTTCCTTGTCAAACATAGCACATTTTTTCTTGACACTGAGTAATTGTTATGAACAGTTGCTGCCCATACTTTGTTTGATTAGGCTTCTATAGAGTACAAGTTTCACAAGAGCTCCTCTGTATTTCAAACTGCTGGGCCAATATCAGAATGTTGCACCATGTTAGCTTTTTCCTTTAACCCTGGTTTTCCAGCAATTGATTCTGTTTACATGTCCCGTAGGCTTCTACAAGCTCCTCCACAGTTTGGTGTCTTCTATCAAGTACAAGTTAATAGCTGTACATCTGTTGCTGCTGCTGTTCACTTTGAACCTGTGGTTGCCCAGCCTGCTGTTGACTTGGCTGGGCCTGAGTCTGCAGGACATCAGTCTGTGGCACTGCCCTCCAGGTTAAGGGCTGCTGTTCTGATATCTGGCTCCCTAATGGAGCAATGGAGTTCACCAGAGTTGTCAGGTTTATAAAATGGGCTACTGACTGAGGGTTTGTGGCTTCAGACTGCGACTGTATCTGGATATCATTTTGGCGGTTACCATGTAACATAGCAGAACCAGTGACTGTGTCAAAAGTCACTGTGAGAATGGAATTGTCTAGTTGCAACTGGCGTTCAGGAGTGGCAAGATGACCTACAGCCACAGGTTGTAGGTTTGTAAACTGGGTCCCAGCAGCTGTAGTGATTGGAGTAACACTAATGTTGGTCAAGCCAACTGAGCTGGAAGGGGCTGTGACATTTGGGTCTCCAAGGGTCACCACCACCTGAGGAGAGAGAGAACCGAAAATTAGTATTGATATGCACTAGTAATTACCAAAGTAACAGTCAGTAAGGGAGTGAGCAACCTGTGGCCCTCCAGATGCTGTTGGATTGCAACTCTTGACAGCCTTCATTGCTGCCCAAGTCACATCCCAACAACATCTTGCCAAGACTTGTAAAAGTACCAGAGGTAAGTGCTGCCTATAAGTGACAGCCAATTTTGCAGTCTTTGTATGGGGGAACCAATGTGTCAAATAGGTGTGAGGAACTCAAAACTTTTTAAAAAGAAACAACTATATGAAAAAAATTCTTTAGGAAGTCTATAGGTTTTCTCCTTGATTTTCATAGAACACTTTTTTATTCTATAGAGTTGAAAGTATCTGTAGATCAATCAGTGTGTTTGACAGTCGCTTCTGATTGTGAGAGAATCAGCAATTTACAAAAACATTGCCCAGGGTATGCCCAGATGTGTTACAATCCTGTGGGGAGGCTTCTGTCAGTGACATTTCGGCCCATCCTCTGTTCGGATAACAGCCAGCATGCAAACACCTTAAATCAAGAAATTGTTTTCTAAGATTTACAGAGATACTCACAGGAACACCTCAGCAAGCAAGAGCCCAAAAGTGGCAGGCTAAACCGGGATTCTCAAGCCGTGGCTGTTATCAAATGAGAAACTCCCTCCTGGACACAAGGAAAACTGGATGACCTGGAAGGCGCTGAACAGACTGCACTCTAGCACCAAGAGATGCAGAGCCAACCTTAAGAAATGGGGCCACAAAGTGGAGTCCACGATATGCAGGTGTGGAGAAGAAAAACCACAGACCACCTATTACAATACAGTCTGAGCCCTGCCACATGCACAATGGAGGACCTTATAACAGCGACACCAGAGACACTCCAAGTGGCCAGACATTTAGTATAAAGTTTTTTAACTTTGCTTGTTTTTTAAATATATTACAACTGTATCCTCGGTTCTCTTGTGACACAATAAATAAATAAACAGATTAATTCACTGTTGATCTAAGGTGAATTCTCAAAGGAGGTCTTTACTACTGTTTGGTGATCCAGGTAATGGGTACAATTTGGTTTTCATCAACATTAAAGGCATTGCATTTTATTTAAAAATGCAATACAACTGTTTGGTTTGCTCCTGACACGATAAATAAATAAAACATTAAAAGCAAAATTCTTGTACAAATATTTAGCAGATTACCTTCTTCAAGATTATATTAGCGAAAGGAAAAGTTACTATATGACGGGTCAAAGCAAAAAGACATGGAAAGCAAAATGGAAGRKTCTCATATATAGAATAAWGGGGAAAGATAAATATACGGTGTTGAACAAAAACTATTCTCATGATTGAACAATTGTAATAAACACAGCTAAAGTATTTATTTGTTCCCGGGGGGGGGGGGGTGTGCTGGTGGCGGGATTGGGGAAAAAACTGGTATTTTGAATGTTATTTTCAAAGATGGTATGTTTCTATGTATTATACAATAATAATAATAAAAAATTTTTTTTAAAAAAAAGCAAAATTCTTGCCATGTCTGGATTACAATACATCTATATTCGAGTGCAGTGCAGATAACATTTTCTCTGATCTTTTTCCCATTTCCAAAATTACTTTCATGGAGACATTTCTTTGATTATCCTACTTGATCTACCAGTAAGTTTAGCAGCTTGAATTGACAGGCAGACTTTGTTTCTAAAGGACTCCAGCAATTAGCAGCCCATTAACCATCTTTATCACAATATCCTACTGCAAACTCCTTTCAGTCATTAAAATACCTTTAAATACCTCCAGCTCCCAGTCCCTTTGGGAATCATCTCCTTCCTCAATTCCTTTGAAAATGGCACTCACCTGCTGAATGCTTTGCACAGCTGAATTGGTCTCATCCCCCACACTTCCTGTAAACTCCACTTCTTTTTCTGTATATTCACTGAAAGCAGAATCCTCAGGCACTTGGGTTTCCTCTTCTTCGCCAGGCTTATGTTTCCGTTTATGGCCTCGTTTATGAGCCTTCATGTGCTTGACTTCTGACAACTCGCCCTGTTCCAAGGCTAGATCTGTCTGCATGGACACAATTTTCAATGAAATACAGCGTCATTGATCTCTTTCAACATTTACCCTTCATCACCATAAGAATTTCAAGGTAAACTCTAATTTGAAAATGCTGGATTTAAAAGGAATTAAGTACATTTGATTCTATACGTTTAAGATTTAGTGAAGATAATGGCTTTCTCACATACTACAGGTGTTAAATTAGCACAGCAAAGCTAGGCAGATTGTGTTACTGCTATTTATGGCCATTGTGAATTATCACTGTGATTATCTTGTATATATTTGGGCTTTACATGCTCTGGTTACCACATAATTGAGCTCCATCTGGAATTCAAGGAGTGAATGCAAGGATATCTGAAGTGATATGAACACATTCTGCACTTCACAATCATGGATGACATATACCAACAGCTCCCTGAATTTAAAATTGAACCATTAAGCATCTTTATTCAGTAGCTGTTGATTAGCAGGAGGCTTTGGCTGAGCACAAAGCCAACGACAATTATTTTTGCAACTGCATCTTCATAATGCAGCTCTGTGTAAAGCAGTGGTTCACAACCTGTGGGTCCCCAGATGTTTTGGCCTTCAACTCCCAAAAATCTTAACAGCTATATAAACTGGCTAAGATTTCTGGGAGTAGTAGGCCAAAACACCTGGGGACTCACAGGCTGAGAGCCACTGGAAAGATGTGGAGAGTACATATTGAGATGGTATCTAAGCATCTTAAATCAAGAAGAAACTCACCGCACAAAAGAACCAAGGCTATGATTTGTTTCTGGACATTCCTTTAAAACAAAACAGGAAAACATGAGGTGGCATCATGATTTCCAATTTGGTTATTTCTGCAACCTTACCTGCACAATGCCTATAGATGAAGCATCTACTGTAGTAGTCTCTGACAGCTCCTCCAAGTCATCAATCCTCACTGAAAGCACCTGGAAGTACAGGAAACCATTAGAAGAAAACATTTCTAAAGCAGCATTCCCCTGCAATTGTACACAAGGAATGTATACCTAAGATGTAATAACATGTGGGATAACTTTATGTTATGTTTTATATTGCTACTCGCCTCAGAGGAAAAAATAAGTTGGCAGGGCCTCACACCACCACTATAACTAAGAAAAAGAATGAATGATAGAAAGGTCCCTTCTACAAACCTACTGAGAGACTGGCTACTTTCCAAAACCTCTCTCTGATCTATTTCCATTCAGTTTTGGCTTTAGAAAAACATTTCCCTGCAACAAAATGCTGCAGTGTGTTTGCACTATGTGTGTGTGGGTTTAAGCTCTTGGTTTTAAAACTCTACATCAAACAACAGTTGTGGCTTGAGTTTTACTTCCACACCTTTTTTATTTGTTTTAACGAGAAATGTAGCCATGGCAGTAGAGTGCAAGGCTTCAGAATACAAATAAAGGCTTGGCCTGGGAGAAGGTCTGTCTGAGGGCCAAGTTAGCAGACTCACATTTATTACAACCCAAAAGCAGGAGGGTCTTTTGATAGGAAACCCATTTGGCAGCCTGACCTCTAGTCCCCAACATGAACAGAGTACTACTAATATTGTAGGCTATATTTTGCAGCAAGGAAGTAGCAAAACTATCTCTGAGTGTTCCTTGCCTAAGAAAACTTTATGTAAGTCATGAGGTTGCCATAAGTCAATACACAAAGCCACATATACACTTACATCTTACAAGGCTACTAAAAGCTAAACTCTTTTAGTAAACGTTTTAATTTACATTAGGGATACAACAGGAAGAACATTACAGATTATTCCATTGGCTCAATCTATAAACCTACAAATATTGCATGGTTATTGAACATTCTTGGCTTCACGCCTCTATTTTAGGGGATTAATGCTGCTGTCAACACTTTGAGACACATCTGCAATATTCAACATGGCAAACATTGCAGAAGCGTTATAGGCCACTCTCTTCGCATCATGGCTCCTTCCCACCAATCTCACCAGGAAAACATAACAAACCCTGAGTTTTTAAAGTCTTCCACCAAACTCACCTCTGGATGTTTTCGTCTCATATGACGACTCATTGAAGCTCTGGTTGAAACTTTGGTCCCACAGAGCTGACAACTTTGGGCTTCCACCTTATCATGAGTCAACTGGATGTGTTTCTGAAGCATGTAATCTGTGACATATTTTTTATCACACACTGAGCACGTCCACTGCTTTCCCACTATGTAACAAGTAAGCAAACATCTGAGTATTCATCCTCAAGTATGCAATCATAATACTCAAAGTATTTCATTTTGAAAAAGACGTTATGTTACACTATATGCAGTGAAGATAACAGTGACAGACATTCATTAACTGGTTAACCTGAGCTAGAATAGAGCAAAGGAAAGACCAGTGAAAAAGGAAGATTAGCTCCATGGAAGAATGATCTCTGAATGCCTGCATATAAGTACTGAGATATCCCCTGCCATGTGAGAGATGGCTATATTATTATTTAAGACTAGTAACATTAGAATCCAAGAAACCTACCTCAAACTAACCTCTGATTTGTATCAATTTGACAACAGATATACTTTGACTAACTTTTGCAGACAAAACAGAAAAAAGTCTTGTGGAACCTTCGCAAGTTCATGATATAACCAAAGATGGTTAACTCATGGCCTAAAGAAGAAATCTATAGACTAGTTGCAACTCCCCACAATGCCCTTAAACCATCCTTCTTGAAAGAGAAACCACAGACAATGGTAATTAGGTCATGTTCCACTGCTATAGAGCCAACATTCAATGGCTTACTTCTCAAGACTAGGAGACAGAAGCCAGAGTATAATGATGAGAGCTGTGGAAGACAGTTTCGGCTAACATCTCTCTCTTGGCAGGAAGAAAAAGATGATACCAGGGGCCAAGAGAGTTCCAAAATCTTCCCAGCTCAGGGAAGCAGTGAGGTCAGATGGAAATAAACTCTACAAAATATGTAACAGTGGCTATCAAAGAAAATTTCAAAGATAAATTTTACAACAAACAACTGAAATCAAGAAATTCTATTGGATCATGTGATCTGAATCAAGATTAAGTGGGTTCTTTAGTGTCCTAGTTTCTTATGGTGCTACTGTTTTTGCTCCAACAGAACAGTGTATAAATCGCCCCATGTTCAATATATAATGTGAGGTAAGTAGATGTCTTATAAAGTATACAAAATAAGCTACCCGCAGCACATTCCCAATTTTCTATGAACTAGGGAGGTTAGGCTCAGAACTCTGTATTTGTTGTGGTTCAACAGCAACAGCATGATGGGACTGAAAGTGCAGATGAGCATGATGGGAATGGGAATACAG